CAATATTATTCCCCATGCTATGGACACCAAAGAGTTGTAGAGATGGTAGGTAAACTAGTGCTTTTAAAAACGATAATGGAGAAATTCCCACCTGGTCACAGACCAGACTAACCACTAAATTAATTTCTCTTGATCCAGACTAGCCAGATGGAAATGATGCCTATGGATACATTGTTGAGCCAAAATTTGACTGGTATCCCTGTCACCAATATTTTGCCCTTCCAGTTCATTTTTAATACTTCTGCCAGTAGAGATTTTATTTAAAAAAGAAAATCACACTACTTTCATCCTTAAAAACTGTTTCTGCTACAAAATCTATAACATAAAGGGCCAAACATTTCAATGTAGCATGCAAGGCTCTTCAGTCTTTCTCAGAAGTTCTCAAACTTTTTCTCTTAAAAATTATTGAGAACTGTAAGGGCTCTTGCTTATGTGGATTATATCTATTGACATTTATTATATTCGAAATTAAAACTGAAAAATTAAAAAATAATTAATTCATTAAAAAATAGTAAACACTTTAAATATTAACCAAAATAATATTTTTTTTCAAATCTCTTTAATATCTGGCTTAATAGAAGACAGCTGAATGCTCATATGTGCCTCTGCATTTGATCTGCTGTGATATGTTGCTTTGGTTAAAGTATATGAAAAAGATCTGGTCTCATCCACATATGTAGGCGGGAAAGGTAGTATTTATAGTCTTCTAGATAATCGTGGATATTCTTCTTTGGTACTACATCAGAACTTGGCAAGTGGTAGTTTCTTAAAAGTTACTTGCAATATGGAATCTAAAACCATACCAATGAACTTTTTGTACTCAGTTACATTAAATCCCTTGGTCTAACTTGCAGTTTCAATGGATCTTTTACTCATGCATAATTCTGTCACATCCTGCATTGGGTCATTTGGAAATAACCGGTTCACTGAGTTATGTGGATCTTCCAAATGCTGACACATTTCATTATATAATTTTAACAATCTTTTTTGCTAATGCCACCACCAATATCATCAGAAAAAATGTTTAAGTATTAGGAAGCTGTCACGGTAGCAGATACAAGTTTGCAAAAGTTCTTATTTTGCTTGAAAGCGTGAATTTTATTATTGACAACAAATACTGTCAGTTGTTTTCCTTGAAGTAATAGGCTCACTATGTTCATTAAGAAAATATCTGCCAAACACCCAGGTCTGTATAACCACAGCTGGTCTGCCCCTTGTTCTTTCAAGGTGGTCCATGGAAAAGGTGCTGGTTCAGCTTTGTAATTCAAATTTTGAAACTCAAACTATTTTACAAGCGTTTTTCCTTGAGACAGCCATACTTTGGTATGCAGCGTAAGTACTCCCTACGTGCTTCTCATTTTAGCACACAGGATTTTTAAACAGACATATATTCAAGGGTTGAGATTTAATAAAATTTAGTACTTTATCAAGGACATTCTTAAGTGAAACTGGTGTTTGTTTTTTAAAGCTGCTAGTACCATATGGTGCCATGGTTTTGATTTGTGCAGGTATAAGTAGTTTTACCCATTATTGTTTTTGCATCATCAGTGCAAATGTCAACACAGTGAAAAAGACAAATAATGTCTTAGTATTATTATGAAAATGGTGACTTTTACATGGTCACTATTTGACCTTGCATGGACCACATTTGAAGAACCACTGGTCTATTCATTATCCTTTTCCAGTCACCGGTCCTGCTTCTGTTTGTCATCATCATCTATGACTGCATATATTGTTCCTTTTGCCTACAGTGTCTTCCTCAGCCTGCTGGCAAAATCTTATTTGTCTTTTAAGATCTGGTTTGTATTTCATCTCTGAGAAGCTGATTTCATGTCTTTTTTTCTTTTTTCTTTTTTTTTTTTTGTTTTGCGGTACGCGGGCCCCTCACTGTTGTGGCCTCTCCCGTTGCGGAGCACAGGCTCCGGACACGCAGGCTCAGTGACCATGGCTCACGGGCCCAGCCACTCCGCGGCATGTGGGATCTTCCTGGACCGGGGCACGAACCCGTGTCCCCTGCATCGGCAGGCGGACTCTCAACCACTGCGCCACCAGGGAAGCCCTGATTTCATGTCTTTTAAGCTGATTTAATCCTTCTGATTTTTGCGCTTCTGTGCCACTCTGAACATACGTTGTTTTAGCATTTATCACATTGAGGGCAGAGGGGTTAGTATCATTTTCAAGCACCCACTATGTGCCAGACCCTGTGCTAAGTCTTTTACGTATTTTCTTATTATATCCTCAATCAATTCTATGTGATAGGTATCATTACAGCCACTGTACACTGAAGGACCAGATAGACAGCTGAAGCTGAAGTCAAACCCAAGCCCACTATTTCGGCAGTGTGGTAATCTTTCCCCCTATTTATCCCTATGGCACATATACAGCACAGTTAAGATATTCCATTTATGTCGCCTGAACAGGCAAATAAAGGAACTTCGTAACAATCTCATCTCATAATGCAAGACTCTACAAAGTCCCTCATCTTTCAGAGCCTAGAGTTTGGCCTTCAGTAGAGTATTTTTCATTCCTTATATACCATTTAGATTTGGAATCTTCATTTACTTATAGAAAAACTGGCATTTTCATTTCTTCCAGCAATGTGTTCCCAGCCGTGGGATGGTAATATAATGATTACACTGCCATCAAGCTGGAAACATAAATGTTGACATTTGACAGTAATGTTTTTCCTCTCAAAGATGCTTCAAGTAAATACTAATGGTGTATCCAAGTAAATGAAGTAACTGTTGGAAAAGCAAATGGTGTATATTTTTCAACATGAGTATTCAAGTTTTAAAAAGTTTAAAAAAAAAAAACCTATTTGATGCTAATACCTCTTTTTCTACTTAGTCTGGGACCTTATGAAATGTGAAAATTCCAGTGTGCCTCTACAAAAAGCTTAATACCTCAAATTTGCTTTACTTAGGCTACAGTACATTATCTTAAGAATGGTGGGAAGACCAGTGGTTCTCAAAGTGTGGCCCCAGGATTAGCAACAGCATCATCACCTGGAAACTTGTTAGAAAGGACCCAACTCAGACCAACTGAATCAAAAACTCTGGGGGCAGGGCCCAGCAATTTGTGTTTTAATAGCCCTCCATTTATTGTGATGCATGGTTAAATCTGACAACCAATGGGGCAAATGTGCTGCATCATTTGGATAAATGGATGTTACCTATAAAGAACTAATAAATGTTGGAAGATACGATTGGCCCATATACAAGCAAATCTGTGAAAATATAAGCTGTATAGTAAGAGGTCTGCCATACCAAGGACCCAGGCTATCCTCAAGCCTATATACAGTAGCACGCAGCCAAAGTAGAGAAATCTCACTCTACGTAAGAGAAGCCAAATTATTCCTTGACCCTGCCTTCCAGGATGCGGATAAACACACCACAGCCATACTTAATGAGGAGTAAAGCCATTTGTTGATCTGCAAGAACTATCTGCCATTCCGTCATAGGTGACTCCAACCACGTGCTGTTTGAATTGCTTCTTTTCTATATAAAACAGCAACCTGCGATACATGTGTTTTATCACTACTACTTTCAACTACCAATGACAAGCCTATTCTACCCAGAAATATATTCCACTATTCTACTTGCTTTGTTATTACAAGGATTTAAGGAAAATAGGGACTTGTTAGCATTTTGACTAGTTGGGGGTATGTAAAAAGCTTATTTTAGTAAAGAATATATATAAAACTTCCTGGCATTTTGCTAGAAAAAGTGAAGGCATTAAGTGTTCATTTTTATTTACACTTTTCTAAAGAAAAGCTGGTGAGAGAATCTGCTCTGAATCAGAGTTTTCTGTCTTTGCTGGGAGGAAGCCAGGCCTGGTAGAGAAGGCTCACTGTAAATCAAGAGGGAGGAAGACTCAGAATCAGATGAATGGACCACTCAGGGCATATCCTTGCTAAGAACAGAAAGGACAGGTGATAGAAGGAAATCATCCCATTTGTTAATACAAACTTGGATAACAGTTCCTTGTTTTTATTGGCAGTACATTAATTTTGATTAAAATACAAATGAGAAAGAAAAAACTTAGGCTTCCTAAACATAAATGTTTATGTGAATGATTACAAGTGAAAATATAAAAATTTTGTTTGATTTTATGTTCATTAACAATGCAACATTATAGGAAGAATACCAGTTTTACAGTGAGACAGATCAAGGTTTGAATTCTCCCTCTGACAATTACTAACTGTGTGAATCTGGCCAATTCTAATTTCTCTCATTTTCAGTTTGTAGGGCTGTTACAAGGATTTGAGATAAATATTTGGGATGTGCCTTATACAGGCTAGGTAATCAATAAACAGTATTAAAGAAAGTAGTAAAGAAAACTGATGCTTAGAGAACTGGTGTGGGTGTACAATTTGCCTAGTTGGATTGAGAATTATATCACTGGGTCTCAATCTCAGTAACCAACTTCTCTTATTTCACCGACATGTTAAAAAACTATAAACTGCTTGCCCTTTCCCCCACCTTTCCACAACATATGAAATAAGGACAGAAAGAGACAGAAATTAAAAAAACAAATATTCCCTTAAAAAAAATAATGGAGATAGAGATAACACCTTGGTGAAAGCCAAAAAAAAAAAAAAAAGCTTAAGAGTTTGATTTCATTTATAGTGAAGGAAAGAATAGTATCACCATTTATTCATTTGATCCTGTTTCTTCCTCACACTATCATAGCAGTTCAAAGCAACAAATTATTTATTGCTCTTAAAGTATTATGGATTTGCTTTTCTTTTAAAGCCCCTCTGCATTTATCAGAATGCAGCAGGCTACTTTAGCTAAAGATCCAGGGCCATAAACCTTGTTCAGTGCAATAAGATCACTTTAATAATATTCTAATCTTGAAATGCAGTTGAAAAGATAGATGATGGTCGCTGAGTGCTACTTACAAACAAAAATGGCTCTCAATCTTAAAGATGCAAAAAACTTAGCAACTGAAAATGTGTTTAAAAAAATTCCCACATTCTGCCAGTATATTTTACATACCTGAGAATTTTCTTAGGAATCTGTGATGGAGAAGAATGACTCCTTTTCTTCTTCTCTGAGTCCTGTAGTAACCCATCCTCTGCTCTACCCTTCTCTGTGACTGCTGACTGCTCTGCCCTGGCTTTGCCCTGATCCACACTGAGCTGGCCTTGGGGAGGGTCACACCTGTACATGAAGACGATGGCTGGCTTCTCGCTGGACTCTCCTTTTGCCTCTGTGAACCAGTGATGGCGCTGAACTGGAGGAGGGGGCAGCATGTGGATGACTGTGCCGTCCAGGCCCACCAGTTTCCCTTTCTCTCGGTCTTTCTCTTTGTCATCCTCTTCATCTGTTTTCCGACGGCGGAAGAAACTTTTAAATGATATCCAGCGTTTAGGTTTTGCATCAGCGGCCCGCCTGCTGCCTTCAGAGTGCAAAACTGATTCAGCTTCTGTTGACCTGGTAGGGCTAGTTGGCTTGGTCCAGTTGGTGAAATGCCTCTGCAAAAGGTTACTTGCATGGTAAGGGGAGGAAGTCGAGCGTGGTGGGGGAAAGGGGGGTGGCGGCTCACTCTGGGGGTTAGTCACTAATTTGGAGGGAGGGGTGGTGACTGGCTTTGTGAGTGGATCTTTCTGTACTTTGGTGGTAGGACTTTCCGTGGTCTGAGGTGCTTCAGCCTCACCGCTGGGCTGGGATGTGAAGAGAGACTTGGGCCGGACTGGTGTACTCTTAGGTGTACTCTTAGCAGCACTGGCGTCGGGAGGAATGGCATAAAGCTCTTCCACACTGCAAGCTTTAGGGCCAGACTGAGGCATTTCTGGAGGAGACTGTGGGGGCTGGATCGAAGCCACGATCTGAGAGAGCACGGTGCTTGCCTTTTCCCTGGCGCTGCTGCTGCTCACTGTTGGAGACTCCTGAGTGCTTTCTGTTTGGGCCACAGGTTCTTGAGTGGTTCTCTGGAGCTTTGCTGGGGAGCTGTGGCTGGAACTGTAGCTCCTCTGTGGTGAGGACTGACCTCTGTTAAGACAGCTGTTGAACTCCTGAACCTTCTGAGCCACTGAACCCCTTTTACGCTCTGTGCTGTTTAAAAACCCTTTAGCTTGGGGACATTCAGTGGCTTTGCTAGTGGTGTTATCAGACACTTTGCTTTCAGTTTCTATCTCTTCATAAGTATGGCTTATTACACTTGTGGTTTTTTCCTTCACTGAAAGTTCTCCACTTGTTCCGAGAAAACTTTTGTAAATGGCTAGATTGTCATATGCATTTGGATTGATTACAATGGGAACTTTGATAGCATTTTTGGAACTCCGAGCGTAAGTTGGCTCATCGTGAATGATAATTGGAAAAGGTGGCATACCGGCATTGTTATAACTATTAAATTTTATTTCAGACAAATTAGGTGACTTAACAGGGATGGTTCTGGAGGAAATGTTTGTAGCTGTGGGTGAAGTAGGTGCTGATTTGTGACAGTTTTTCCTTGGAGGGACATTTGGTCCAGTCCCACCGCTAATTAATTCCACCTTAGGTATCTTTTGTCGTGGACTGGTACTGGAAGTCCATACTTCCTGGTAGCGGATTGCACTGGATTTTTGGAAATGGGCACTTATTTGTCCTGATGTCAGTGTGGGTGATGTCACTGGAGAGTTTGGAGTAGAAGATGAGCTTTTCGTCTTGGGACTGTTAATAGGGCCCTCGAGGTGCTCACTGGCCATGGCTGCTGACACATCCACAACAGTATATGGCTTGCACAAAGGCTGTTCCAGATTCACAACTCGGTAGGGCTTTGCTTGCTCTTCTACAGGAACGAGGTTTATTGTTACTGCTTGCCCAGTAATATCTGTAGGGGCTTTACTTTCTTGCTTCTCAGTTTGTACGGCAATCTTGCCATCCTTCTCTTCCAATCGGAGAGCAAGGACTGCTTTGTGCGTCTCTGGAACTTTTACTGAGCTTTTGGATGCTTGTGCTGAGTCCTTCTCCTGATTATTACCAGAGAGGCTTTCATAATTGGGCTCACTTTCCTTCATGTCCTTAGAATCTCCCGGGTTACCAGGAGCTATTCCCACATTACAAATCTTCTGGGATAAACTACTGGCTGTCTCAGAACGTGATTCTTCTGTTAAAGAGGAATCTGGGGATGTGGAGTCAGACGACACTATGCTCTGAATGCTTCCTGGTCCATAGGAGACCACAGAATTCTCTTCATAACCATTCAGGATTTCATCATAACTGTCATCATAGTCTACAGCACAGATTCTTTGCAGAGATTTATTTCGCAGGGGGACAGTATTCCATTTTTTGTCCACAAAGAATCGAACAGGAGACAAAGTGTTTGCCCTGAAGTTGGCAAAGCGAGGTTGCCCTCTCATGCGGATCTCCATGGCCAGCAGTTCTTCATCACTCTCATCCCAGCTCTCGTGCTCCTCCTCCATGTTACTCAAAAGCACATCTTCCTCACTCTCTTCGCCACTAGAAAACTCTGGGTAACAGAATCGACCCCCTTCATTACTGATCACTTCTGTGCTCCCACTCAGAATAACATGCTTGCCCTGAGTATCCTTTATTCCGCCCATCATGCAACTGGGTGGAAGCTTTCTTTCCAGTGATCGTTTATAGCAATCATTTATTCTTCCTAAGAATGTTTCTCTGGAGTTTGTTTCATTTCCTTTTATTTGAGGGGTGGTATCCAAGCCTGCTATCTCCTTTAACACCTCAGTTAGTCCACTATTGTTATTTGATATCTTCTTTGCACTATCATTATTCCCATAAGGCTTAGGAACATGGCTAAATCCTTCAATGTCCTCTTCATTATTATTATTAAGTGGTTTCTGATTCAAGGCCATCCTGTTTCGGTTCCATCCTATGATGACAGGTTTGTTCTCACAGTGTTCTTGGATACTAAGCTCACCACACATACTTTGCCCATCTGCCACCATCATAGTGGGCTTCACAGCTATAGTGGGTTTTTTAGCCACAGGAGGCCGGAAATTTCCGGTGTTCCTGATTCGGTGGTTGTTACTCTGATTGGCATTAGTTTTATTGCCATGGGTGATGGGTGCCTTCTCAGGGTCTGGGGGGAGCTGATGTAAGCTTTTAGGTTTAAAGCAGTTCTTGCATTCACCAGGTTTCCAAACGTGTTCAGTAAAGGTATTACAAGCAGACATTTTTAAAAACAGAACTTCACAGACAACGCTTTCCTTTCAGTGCATGGCAAAACTTTCATCTGTTAGTTTTCACCTCCCCTATGTTTCATAGCAGCTCTTGTAAGTGTGATCAATCTGTTGGGGGAAGGGGGAGAGAAGAAGAAAATCTGAATGGAAAAGGTACTATGAGGCTTATCATGATGAATAATTTGAAAATACTGGCTCCAACTTTTCCTTAAAATAAAAGATTGAGAGAGAAACTAATTTGGGCACTTTATGAACTCTCTTTGGCTAATGAGCAGTTTTGGAATGTTAGTTTTTTAACCATAATTTTATGCACTCTCATTGAACCAAGTATAACATTTCATTTGATGTCTCTGTGACAATGATACTGTGAGCTTCCCCTCCCAGAAATGTCTTTGAAACCATTCTTTCTGTTATCCTCCAACCTGAAGCTTCTTGGTCCATTGTGGGTTCCTCTTCTTCTGCCCACCCTTTATATTTGGATATCTCATAGACTCCTCAAACACAATGCATTCAGGACTAATCTTCTGTCCACCTCTTTTCTCAACTCTAAGGAACTTTTGTACTCTAACCAGCCCTCCTCTACCCTCCAGGCCACCACCTTCCTCTGTCTTTATCCTAGTTCAGTTACTGTCACTATCATCCACCTACATAGCTAAGCTTCAACCTTCAGACCATTCTTGACACCCCTCCCCTCACTTCTAACGCCACATCCTAAATCCTTTTGTAAATTAGTCTTGCCAATTTTTTTATATTTTGTAAAAATATTTATTTAGGGCTTCTCTGGTGGCGCAGTGGTTGAGAGTCCGCCTGCCGATGCAGGGGACACGGGTTCGTGCCCCGGTCTGGGAAGATCCCACATGCCGTGGAGCGGCTAGGCCTGTGAGCCATGGCCGCTGAGCCTGCGCGTCCAGAGCCTGTGCTCCGCAATGGGAGAGGCCACAACAGTGAGAGGCCCGCGTACCACACACACACAAAAATATATATATATATATTTATTTATTTTGGCTGCGCCAGGCCTTCGTTGCGGCATGTGGGCTCTTTTTTTAGTTGCGGCGTGCAGACTTCTTAGTTGCGGCATCTAGTTCCCCGACCAGGGATCAAACCTGGGCCCCATGCATTGGGAGCACAGCGTCTTACCCACTGGACCACCAGGGAAGTCCCTAGTCTTGCCAATTTTATCTATTACATTTCACTGGAACTCCCTTCCATTACCAGACACTGCTAGTAGTTCAGATGCCCACCATCTTTTGCCTAGATTCCTGCAATAGGTTGTTAACTGATCTCCATGCCTGTAGTCTCACCCCTTTCCAATCCAACCTCTCTATCCTTGCTACTCAAATTATGGTCCTCAGACAAGCAGTATCAGCCTCATCTTGAAGCTTGTTAGAAATGTATTATCTTAGACTTGCAGTGTATCCTCAAGATCCTTAAAGAATCTGAAAAAGAATGAATATATGTATAACTGAATCACTTTGCTGTACACCTGAAACTAACACAACACTGTAAATCAACTATACTCCAATAAAAATTTGAAAAACAGAAAAAAGAAAAAAAAAAGAAATGTAGTATCTTAGGTCCAATCCCAGACCTACTGGATCAGAATTTGCATTTTAATGAATTCTCAGGTTGACTCCATTGTTTTGTACTACTATCAGATTTTCCTTTCTAAAATGCTAATATGATCATCTTATTACCTAGCTTAACTATTCTGTGGTTCAATATTACCTAACGCATTGGCTCCCAAAGGTCAGATAGGGGTTGCTAGATAGGTAAGAACCACCTGGGGAAACACCCAAGTCAATCTCTAAGGGAAGAGTCTAGGAATCTGGTTTTTACTACAGGTAATTCTATGTGCATTGAGGTAATGGAACCTCTGAGTCACAGGATGGAATACAATCCCCTTAGGTTTGCATGATATAGTCCTTGCCTCCCTTCTAGCCTTATGTATTAAAAATCAACTAGTCTTATCATACTCTAAATGCCGCTGGGCCACTCATTTCTCCTGGGTACCATCGAAGCCACTTGGACATACCTCCATGAACAAGCACTTTCATTTTTAATTATCTGTTTTCTCACTAGTTTTTGAGCTTCTTTAAGCCTGGGATATATCATACTCATCTCTGTATGTCTAGCATAAGGAGCTGGATAAACACTGGTTCATTAAATGTGCTGGTTTTGAGGCTTATCTTTAAAAAATAATCTCACGGTTCTCTCTCTTTCTCTCTCTCTCTCTCTCTCTCTCTCTCTCTCATTTCTCTCTTAGGCACATAGCTATAGACCTTCCCACAGAACACCACTACAGTCTTACATTTCCACTTTGGATATTATCATAAAGCTGGCAGTAGGCATGTACATGTAAGAACTATTTTAATAGCTGAAAAGTTTAACTTCATTCCTGTACAATGACAGTGACAGGATCCTTGGTTTGGTCAGAAACGCAGCCTTTACCCAAGTTTCAGCACATTTATAAGGAAGGAAAGAACATTTTATTTAGTTAATATATACAGAGCTACGCCCCTTGTAAACAACACTCATAGAGCACTTTGCCTCAGTGGATGAAGTGCAGACAAAGATCAAAGAATTCCACACAGAGAGCCCAATGACTTGGCCAAAATCTAAGTTCACTCTTTGCTGGAGACCACTGAATGGCTTTTTTCAATAAAGTAAAAATATATTTTTCAAGTGTCTGTTTGAAAATATTTATTTACTCTTTCAGATATTCAAAAAGCTATACCCCTTAGTTGATAAAACCATTTCCTGCTAGTCTGAGACTGAAACATTTTGAGCAAGGAGAAGAATGGCATAAAATTAAGCTGAAAAAGAGAGCAGGGTCCAGATCATGTGGGGCCTTTTATAAGCTTTTAAAGATTATGGAGTTTATCCTAAGAACAGCAGGAACCCGCCAAAGGGTTTTAAACAGGGGACACAAGATGATATAATCGGCATTTAAAAAAGACAGCTCTGACCAAAAAACATGAAATACTTAGGTATAAGTCTAACAAAACATGTGCAAAATCTAAAATCTATACGCAGAAAACTATAAAAGACTGAAGATATCAAAGACCTAAATAGAGAAATATATCAAGTTCTCTCCATGTTGTTAAGATGTCAATTCTCCCCAAGCTGCTCTGCAGATTCAATGAAATTCTAACCAAAATCCGAGTAGAATTTTCTGTAGAAATCAACAAGCTGATTCTAAAACGTATATGGAAAGGCAAAGAAACTAAAATAGCCAGAAACAATTTCAAAAAAGAACAAAGTTGGAGCACTCATATTACCTGATTTCAAGACTTTTTAGCTACAGTAATCCTGATAATGTGGTATTGGCAAAAGGACAGAAACATAGATGGGGGAAATGGGATACGCAAACTACAACCCATAGCCCAAATCTAGCCTGTTGCCTGTTTTCGTATGTCCCTAAGCTAAAGATGTTTTTTAAATGGTTGAAAAAAAATTTTTTTTTAATATTTTGTGACAAGTGAAAATTATATGAAACTCAGATTTCAGTGCCCATAAATAAAGCTTTATTGGAACATAGCCAGGCTCATTTGTTTGCGTATTGTCTCTGGTGGCTTTTGTGCTACAATGGAGAGCTGAGTAGTTATGACAAAATATGTGGCACTCTCATCACTTCGCAGTGCTTTTCAGCACTCTACAAATTGCAGCGTTTCCACTGCTACATGAATCACATGTGTGAAAAGACATTTTCTTTTTTTTCATAAATTAATTTTTTTATTTTTGTCTGTGTTGGGTCTTCACTGCTGTGCGCGGGCTTTCTCTAGTTTTGGCGAGCGGGGGCTACTCTTTGTTGCGGTGCACGGGCTTCTCATTGCAGTGGCTTCTCTTGTTGCGGAGCACGGGTTCTATGCACGTGGGCTTCAGTAGTTGTGGTGCACGGGCTCAGTAGTTGTGGCTCACTGGCTTAGTTGCTCCATGGCATGTGGGATCTTCCTGGACCAGGGATCGAACCCGTGTCCCCTGCATTCAGGTGGATTCTTAACCACTGAGCCACCCAGAAAGTCCCGAAAAGACATTTTCAAAGATAAAAATATGTGAAATTTCATTACAGATATGCATCAATAGATGAACATGTGTAATCAGTTGTTTTTTTTTGCGGTATGCGGGCCTCTCACTGTTGTGGCCTCTCCCGTTGTGGAGCACAGGCTCCAGACGCGCAGGCTCAGCAGCCATGGCTGACGGGCCCAGCCACTCCGCGGCATGTGGGATCCTCCCGCACTGGGGCACGAACCCGTGTCCCCTGCATCGGCAGGTGGACTCTCAACCACTGCGCCATCAGGGAAGCCCTGTAATCAATTTTGATGACAGGAAGCACTAACTTTGAACCCGAATTAAGCAAAATTAATCATTGGTGATCTTAGCACAAACTATCCCTGTCCCCAAAAAAGAATTCCATTCTTCTTATTAAGTAGAGCTGTGTTACAAAAAACTATACTCAATTTTTATATTTTGAATTTTGTCCAAAAAATTCATGGCAATTTATTTTCTTTCTTGTTATACAAGTACCTATATAATACCTTGGTTTTTGCTCTTTGGCCTGCAAAACCTTAAATGTTTATGATTTGGTTCTTTAAAGAAAAAGGTTGCTGACGCCAGATATAGATCAGAATAGACATAGAACAGAATAGAGACCAGAAGTAGAGCCTCACAAATATAGTTAACTGATTTTTGATATAGGTGAAAAGGATACTCTTCAACAAATGTGCTAGAAAAACTGGATATCCATAGGCAAAAAAATGAACCTTGATCCATACATCACACCCCATACACAAAAATGAACTCAAAAGGGATCACAGATCGAAGTACAAAATGTAAAGCTACAAAACTTTTGGAAGAAAACATAGAAGAAAATCTTTGCAACCCTGGGATAGGGAGAGTTCTTAGATACAACATCAAAAGCATGATCCACAAAAGAAAAAACAGAAAACTTGGTCTTCATCAAAATTAAAAACCTTTGTTCTTGTATATGTATAACTGATTCATTTTGTTATAAAGCAGAAACTAACACACCATTGTAAAGCAATTATACTCCAATAAAGATGTTAAAAAAAAAAGAATTCAATTCACAGCTATTGACTTTTTTCCTCCTG